GCCCAAATCTTCCCAGGGCCTGCCCTGTGGCAAGCCTGGGTGCCATCCTCCTTGAGGTGCCCTGCCACCTCGTCGCTGTGGGGACCAATTACCCTAGCGATTTGGCGGGGGACCTTGACCCCTACCTCCCGCTTGGCGGTTTCCTTGGCCGCCAACCTCCTGTGCGCCCGGTCCTCGACCTCCCATGGCCTGGCCCCTTTGGCCTTGGCCTCCTCCTCTACCTTGCGGCTTCCCTCCAGCCGCGACAGCAGCATAGGACCTCCCCTGCCCTACACTACTGTCCTCGTTCCCTAGGCCCCACTCAGTCTGTTCATATGGGACCTCGTCTGTACCACTCTCCTCTAACGTCAGGATCAAGTGATCCTTGGCCTTGACTTGGCTTGAGATGGTACAATCCTTCCACTTCTTCCCCTTCTCTAGGTCTTTATGCTAGAAAGTGGTGACTGGCATAGACTTTGACTCATATAGGACCACCTCCCTACTCAATACATCATATGTGATCCCGGCCTGTTGAGACTTGTCAAAGAAATGCCCACGTAGGGCCTCTGGCATGGCACGATAAAACAACTGGACCAACTGGGTTTCAGTGACCCCATGGTCCGGGACGGCTACCAAGTCRTCCATGGTACCCTTGAGYGCCCTTGCACTCCTCCACKGTCGTGAGTGGATCGTCTGTAACTTGTCTGAGGCTCTGAYGCCTCGCGTTGGGTCAGCAAACCGCTCCTTCAGGAGCTYAAGGAACTRAGAGAGGGGGGTSACTTTGGAGTAGGCGACCAGGTTGTTTTCGCATCCGGCCGCTCGCGCAAGGGATCTAGCGAAACTAGTCGCTTCGTCCTTCAGGGCCTGGAAGGCCACAAGGACTTGCTCATCTATCAAGATGTGTTGTAGGTAAATATAACTGTTGACACTGGCTTCCCAGTTGTCAAAGTTCTCCTCCTTCTTCCCTCCATAAGCGTCTGGGAACTTGAGCTTTACTAGGTCCTTGCGAGGTCTGGCCTCGCCCTCTATTGCGGCTATGGCTTTGGCACCCTCGATGGCGCCCTCACAAAACTTGCCTACGCTATCTCTCAACTGCTTCACTTCGCCCCCAAAGTGGGTGACGATCTCGCGGGCAAACTCTCTAAAACCTGACCGCATGGCCTTCAGGGTAATATCCTGGCCCTGATTGGCTTGTCGTTCCTCTAACCAGGCCTCACTCAACACCTCTAAGTATCCCAACATCTTATCCATCTTGGAAGAAACATCTGCCTGTGCCTAGACTTCCTGCCTACATGTCCGCACCTTTTCCACTTCTGCGGTCAATCGGTTGGCTTCCTCTCTTCTCCTCTTCTGCTCCCTCTTCATCCTCAGTTTCCACTCCAGTCTCTTCTCCTCCTCGGCTTCTTGACGTTCAAGGGGGTCCTCAATCACTGCGAGGGCCCTGGCAAACGCGTCCTTCTCCTCCTGTGGCACATACATCTGTGCCTCCTCATCTTCACCCAACGATAAGTTAGCAACCCACTCACTTATTTTCTTCTCCATCTCTGCATCTTTATCCTTCTTCGTGCCACTACTCCCTTCCCTACTCTCAATTCTCATCCTCTCTTTCTCTTCTTCTTCTGCTGCTGCTTCTTCAGCAGCCTTCTTCTTCCTCTCCATCTCCTCCTCGATCTCTTTCATCTTCGCCGCCTGTTCCTCCGCAATCGCCTTTAACTTCGCCTGCTTTTCACGCTCTATTCTCTCCCTGTTTTCTTTCACTAAGGCGGCCATCTTCTCTTGCTGCTCCTTGCTATAGGGACTAGTCTCTAACCCAGTACGGGTCTCAACCATGGTGATAAGTGTACAACCGGGTTAGTGGTTCCAAACCTCACCATGTAGACTCTGACCCCTGACTGACAACCTACTGACTCAATCTAAGACTCAGAGAATCCTGACAGGGATCCTGCCCGCTATGGTCTCTCGCCTAGACCTAACTATGGATGTCACTACTGAACCAGTGGCTGATCTAGAGGCATTTAAGGAGATCCCCCGTAACTCCGCAAGAATTCTAACGTCGCAGACAGGACGACGTGATCAGCCTGGTTCTGCCTGTGCTTTCAGCCCACAACTCAGCCTTTCCGGCCTACTGTGCCACACCGAGCAGCCCGCCGGTCTGTACCGGTCCTTGGGAGGGTTCGTATCCC